TGCCTTGGGAATTGTTGAAATTCGTTGATGTTGTTGCGGACCCTGAGCCGTTGAGCCGTTTTTTGGGCCCTTGACCCTTTTAATTGCCAAATCCAATTTTTATCTTTTTTAAAATATTTTCCGAGTTTTATTCCTTGAACCGAGAGTTCTAAGTTCTAGTAAATATTTATAACTCCTTAATCATTAATTTTTTATTAAGTGAGAAGTTCTCAATAAATTATTGAGTTAACGAGTAATTTATTTGTAAAAATTATCTTGATTAAATGTAGGTTCCTGAGGAGTCGAGCCTCATTACATACCGAGCTATTTTTGTGCTTATCTTGTCTTCCGATCAGGTGGGTGTTGATAAACCTTACCATTTTTGTTATTCTTTGTAATTGCTTGGCTTGATAATCAATGTATGCATGTGAACCATTGGTCTGTGAGAGTGTTCTCCGTTGATGTTGTTCCCGACGTTCTCTTATTATTGTGTTTTTTAATATTGTTCCTGTTGATGGGTTTTGCCAGTGGTTAGCTCCTGACGAGGAGTTTTGTCATCAGAAGCTAGGTGTACACATGAGACAGTATTAGGGCCGTATAGGAGGTAAACTAGATAATTTTTGTTCATGCTGCGATTATGATTTTAAGTCATTATACTAATAGACTGCATGGTATTCCCACGGTAAGCTTGTTGTTTGCTCACCCCCATTATTTTTCCCCTTTTTAGGTTGAGCTGGTGGTCGTGGCAAATGGCGGACGGGTGGAGTCCTTTATCTGTTGTTTGTTATTATGAATTGTTATGTGCTTCCACTTGTCATTGTCATACTTTGCTAAACTTGTGTAATCAATACTGGAAACTTGGATTTGATGATGAATTTGAATCGTTATGGTAATGTTTCGAGATTCATTAATGAGTATGCGATATTATGTCTCGTTTGATCATGTTTGGCGTGCGATTTTGGGATGGATCCTTCCCCCAAGGCTTATGTTGAAACTTAAACTGTGTGATTATGAATGATTGGTTGAGTAGCACCCGTTAAATTATTTCAAATTGAAAAATATTTTTCGAAAAGTTTACTCTGATTTTTGAAAAAGTTCAGTATTTTTCTTCTAAAAACAACGGGGTGTTACAATTAGAATTTGAAAAATTTTATAAATGTTCTCTATTATTCCGATCCATTTTTTAATTAAATGAGCAGTTGCTAAACTTTTTGGTGCAAGAGAGTTGTAGAAATGTGGTGTATTAATAGACATAAAAAGAATTGGAGAATAGAAACTGTAAATTATTGATACATATTGGGAAGTGCGATATAAATAAATTTTGAATTTATCATATTGGGAAGTGTGATATATATAAAATTTGAATTAAATATAAAAAAAAGGAAAATAGTTTGAATAATTAATTATCAGACACTCGGGTATTACTCCGTCGGGGTCTTTTTAGTTTCGTAGTGTTTTTGTGTATTAGTGTTTCTGTGTGTTTTGAGTATTACCCCGTTGGGGTCGGCTTTAGGCGGTCTTTAGACTGTCCTCTCACTTTATTCAGCTGTTAGGTGTTTGTATTCAACTGGTGGCTGTCATTTTGTACATTTATATATAATATCTCTATCGTTTTGAAAAAAAAAATGTTTGAATAATTAATTGATTTAAAAAAAAAAAAAAGATAATAATAAATTTGCTTGAATGTCTTTCAGCTTAATGAACGGCCAATTGGGGCCCGCTATTAATGGATGCATTGCATCTATGTCAAACGGGCCCCTCCCTTTTAAACGACAAAAAAAGGCCGATGCAGATGTCCTAAGGGCACCTTTAAAAATTACTTCTTCAAAATTTCAAGCATGTTTTCTTATAAAAAAAATAAAAAATCGGACGTGCTTGTTTACAAATTAATTCGCTTAAAATGAGTTTTTTTTTTAATAATCTGGGTTAATTTTGAAAAAAAAAAGATGCGTGGTTAGTTGTTAGTGAGATTTTGAGTGTATATTAAAATAATATTTAAAACAAATAATTAAAATTAGTTAATGTAAAAGTATGAGAGAGGATATTTAATTTTTGACATTTTTCAACTCTTTCTCTCTCTAAGTCACTGCGAAGAAACCCTTTCTGCTCGCCGCTCTTCTTCAAGTCGCTGCTGCTTTGCCTTCCTTGGCGACGGCGTGTACGGGCCAGTGGTCATCTTGACCGCTCGGCTCGTCCCGAAATCGCGTCTCTCCGATTTGCCGCAGTGGTTCACGAGGCGTGCTCAGCCCTAGGTCCGATGGCAAGGTGCGATTGTGGTGGTGCGCTTCGATCGGAGGCTCGTGGTTCCTCTAATTGGACGCCGGCGGTCTTCGATTGGGATGGTTCGCCTCTCGATTTCAGCGGGTCGGGGCTTGGAGGTCCTTCTGGTTGGATCGCTGTTCCGGGTAGGGATTCTGGGTTTGGGCTTTGTGGCTTGGGTTCGTGTGATCAAAGGGCTGCGGTGGGTTGGGAGGCGGTAGGTTTCGGTGGCCGGGACGAGACTCCGGCGGTTTTGCCGGAGTAGCGGAATGCGCCTCTCCCTTCCTCCCCTGTCGGCTAGTGGTGTTAGGCGGCAGGGGCCCTGGCTCTCCCGAGCTCCGCTAGTGGTGTTAGACGGGTTCAGGTGGGGCTGGGGTGAGGGCTGGTGTTTGTTCGCTCGGTTGTAGACGGGTCGATTCGGAGATTGGTTCGGGCCTTGGTTTCTTCTACTGTATAGGCTTGATTGCAGTTTCAGTAGCAGTGGCTTGGCCTGGATTTGTCTTGTGTCGATCGGACACTGTTGGTTTGGGCTAGTTCGTTTGTCGGGAAGGGCTTTTAGTCTTAGTCTTTTTAGTTATTTGTTCTTGTTTACTGTTTGTAGTATCTGTGTTTGTGTATCTGTGTTTGTGTTTGTCTTGTGTTGTTTGTGTTTTGTGTTTTTGGTTTGGGCCGTTGGCCCCTGTGAACCCGAGTGTCAAACTTATTACTCCGTTGGGGTCCGACACTTGGGTATTACCCTGTTGGGGTCCTTGTAGTTGTTCTAGTTGTTTGTGCTGTTGGTTAGTTTAGTTATGAGTGTGTTTTTTATTCTAGCGTTGCTAGTCGGGATTCTAGGCGGGTTTCTGACCTGTCCTCCCATTTTTTCAGCTGTTGGCAGCTGTGTATTCAGCCGTTGGCTGCTGTGTATTCGCACATTTGTGCATTTTGATTTATAAAACTTTCTATCGTTTCGGGAAAAAAAAAAAGTATGAGAGCTATGATGTGAAGGGATAGTTAATTAAAATTATGTGGGTTGATGAATATTGAATTAAATTTGATGTGATGTGTAATGATTGATTTATATTATTTAATTATATGAACAATATTAAAGATAGTGTAGTTGAGTTAAACCTCAACAAGCATTCCCTCATTTTTCAATTCTCAATATGACACACCATCTAAACCTCAACATTACTCTTATAACTATAAATCTCCAATAACACATATGTTCCACTTATTTTAATTAAAATTAATATACATATTTTTATTTATATTTAAAAAAAAAGTTATTAATTATTTTTATTAATCTTCATTCATATTGGTGCGTAAAAGCCTCTGACCGGCTGGAACTGACTTGCTCACGTGCTCTTTCGCCTGTTGAACACCTTCAACCTGCAAAAACTCTCACACCAGAAGAGTTTTCCGGTGAAGAGCCTCTGACGCTTAAATGAGTATATGTAGAAGGTGATCTTCAGAGAATATAAAGTAATAATATGAATGCAATGGGTTAAAATTACGCCTCTCACCCCTATATATAGGGGTGAGGTACCTGCTTATAGAAGGCTGCCTGGATATGATGAGCTTGCTGCTCGAGAGTACAACCTTACTGTTAGAGCGGTTATGTAGCGTCGACCAATCAGATGGTGCCACGTGTGCACGCCCATGTGCAACATCAATTACCATAAGATTCCTTTGACCCCTTGTGATTAGACCACCTAGTAATGCGACCAGGTTGAAATATGCCAAGATAGAGTTCTAACCGCTTTAGACTTTGTAGCTCCCATTGGTCGATCCTACGACCAGCCGTCTCTACAGGTCGAGTTTCCACCAGGCCAACCGAGGACCTCCACTCAACCTGTTTTTATCATCTTGAACCCTTTATGTTGTCTTCTCCTATCAAAGGCTCTTAATCTTGTGATGCTCGACCACGACCACCTTCCTCTGATTCTGCTCGACTAAACGATTTATTTGACCTGCTCGACTGGTTTATTCCTTTAAGTATAGTCTCATATCATCTAGTTCCTCCCACTTTGGTCGAGTTTAGATAACTCTATCCAATAGTACATTTTCCTCCTCCATTCGAGTTGTTGTCTTGCTCTTTTTATTTACTCCGTCTATCTTTTTCTGAATTTTTGACTTCGTCCTTTTGGACTTTATTTTGAATTTTGAAATTCAAACTTGTCGTCTGTCATATCCATCAGGCCTGCCCACTGAAACGTCAAGTCGACGTCACCGCCTCGCGAATTGCACTGCCTCGCACAATGCGCCTATTTAATGCCTTTAATCCAACGGTTAATAAACCAATGCCTCTTCAGTTGGCCTCTGGATCTCAACCCTTGATTTCAGCCGTGATCTAACGGCTTAGTTCGATCTATCTTTCCAACGCACCTTTTGAATCCCGACCGTTGGGTTCGGTCGCGATCAACGATTTGGATTGCTTTACCTTCATATTTTCCGCCCAAATACTCTTGCGCCCAGAAACCCTAAAAAATATTCTTTTTGATATTTTCCTTCTATGTTTTTAGATTCCGCCATCTCAAGAGAAAACGACCACTTCTCCTGCGAGGACATGTCTCCTCTGTCTTCGTCCTCAACATCTCAACCTTTATCCCTCTTTCTGAACCCTTATGTTCAAGAAATTCTTCAACCCACTCTGATTTCCATTGTCCGACCTGAAATTCCAGTTCAAACTCATCAAGACCACGCAACCTCACCTAACCCTTTTTTTTCTTCGCCAACCCCTTCATCTGGTCGATGAGCCAGATGAGGGCATCCCTGACGACCTACCACCTCCTCATCGTCTCGTTGACCTTTTGGGCTAAGCGACAAGCTCGAGGTGGTAGAGGAAGAGGATTGCGAGGTCCTTCATCCTGATCCCCTAGCTTCAGCCAATCTTGTACCTATCTCGGCCATAGGAGCCGGTCCCTCCACCAACCGCCCCTCTCGTCGTCCTCGAACCAGTCCTTTACGTTCTTGTTATCAACGAGTCAACTGGTTGGATCTTGCAAAAGTCAGCCATCCTTCTGGCTAAGCAGTCTACAACCCATGTGCTAACGATACCTATCGACCTCCCGAGGGTTGTTATATTTTCTTTCAATGCCAGTTCCAACTAGGTCTTCTCTTCCACGCTGTCCTGCACTGCTCGACCTGTGTAGGATATTTGGGTTGCCTTTGTACCAACTCCCCCTAACTCTATTTGACATATAACCACCTTCATTATTCTTTCTTTTGCTCGTCTGGGTCAAATTGACCTAGACTTTTTTTTTTATTGCTTTGTAGCTTTAAGCCAAAGAGGTAGGCTATACCTGAAAAGTCGCAATTGTGCCCACTTCTTATCTGATATTCCCTTCAACGTTCCCCAATAGAAACATAAATTTGTGTATGTTGAACCCAATTCTTCTTTCTCTTGGGCCTCGACTCCTTAGCTCGAGGCCCTTCCTTTTGAAACATGGAGTCCTCCTCCAAATCCTTTGTTCTACCGTTGCCCTGTGGAACTCCAATAAGATTGCGTCCGAACTTATCTCAAAGATAACAACATTTTACATCACTGTGGCACACTCAACCTAACCTCATACTCTCCCCCCTTCGAGCAAAAACTCCAAGATCTTCGCATCATCAATGAGGCTGGACTAGGTAATTTTTACCTTCCTATTCGATCCTTGATTGTTGTAGCAAAGCTAAACTTCACTCTACCTTTTGCAGAGGACTTCTTGACAAAACCAACACTAGGAGATAAATCGAGTAATTATTATTGGAGCCTCGAATACAATTCGGGAATTAAATTGGGAGTTTTTCAATAATACTACTTTAGTGGAATGATTGTATTATTCGTATATGAGGAGTGGGTTTGGCCCACAATTAGGCCCATATACGGAAAGCCCAATTTAATACCTCCTTAGGCTCCCTATTGTAGCATGTAAATACATCACATCTCTTGAGATTAGGAATAATAAAAGTTGGACGAGATTTCCATATGGCAGATAGCCATCGCCCCTTGTTCTCTCTTCTCATCGGCCACCAAGATGATCATAGAAGATTTCGGGTCAAACAACAGAAAATCTGAGGAAATTAAAGGCGAATTTATATATNGATGGGGCGTTTTCTTAAAGTATCTTTCTATACTTGATATATATATATACAGAGTTATGATCATATGAGAATGGTAGATAGTGAAAGAAATAAGAATGATTATGGACCATTGGATTCATCAAGTCAATGGCTATGATCAAGTCAAACATTAATAATGTCAGTCAAACATTAGATTGCAGTATGGTAATAAGTAGACATATTAGGGTCAAATATATGTATTTGATCACTTAATAAGGTTAAATAGGTCATTGGCCACAATTCCACTTGCCTGTGGGTCCCACCCCAAACCCACTCACCATGTCAACTCTCTCCCTTCCACACCAGTTTCTCTCTCACACACACATAATCAAAACATACACACACTGACGCACACATACTCTGCACACTGCACACACACACACACATACACACACATACACACACACACTGTGGCACCCCGCCTTACTAACTTTGAAAATCAGAGTAAAATTTTCGATTTTGTTTTCGAAAGGTGGTGCGAGCTTGGTTTTCGAAAACACTAACTTGTTGCGGGAGGACACAGATAAAAACTTTACTTAACTTGCTCACAGACATAAATAACACATGCAACCAAACTATCCGCTACGGATATGGAATCGCACATTCAATGTCTGAACTGTCTTGCACAGTTTAAAGTCTGCTAGCGGAAGCATCCGAAATACAGAAATACATAGGGTACATGGATACATATCTGAATGAATACATGATCATAAAATTTAGGACATAAAATGTGCATAAAATGTCCTTGCTGACCACGCATCGCCACGCTTAGCTCACCCGGCACGCTCGACTCCGTCTCTTGAAAAACACAATGGGGGTATGAGCAAACCACTATGCTCCGCAAAGACCAGTACTGAATAAAACATCATGTATAATAACGTGTCATGAACATAAATATATAAGAGCTGAAACCGTAAACTTTTCTTTTCTTTCTTTTCTGTGGTCAGAAGACCGTCAGCCATGGCCGCTCGTGTGCACAGCCCGATGGGATATTAAGGCCCTCGGCTTCCACCGGTACCAGGTAAAACTCGAAAGGCCCTTAGGTCGGCCAATCACCTAGAAAAACTAACTGTCTCGAATATACCTCTGCCATGGTACAGATATTATATATAATGTGGAATCCAGTACATGACCCCCACCTGATAACTTGAAATCTGACGCAAGTGTTGATACTGGAGTAGCGGTCAGAGGCTCGACTCTCTTTAGGCTACATAAATATTTAAGGAAAATAATGCTAAGTATAATGCTCGGAATATTTAATTATATGCTAACAAATGCTCGGACTTATCTACGCGATTAAACTGGGCTGGACTGGTTCGGAAAAATACTAAAATTTCGGAAAGAGACTCGGACTAGAAACCACGAATCAAAACAGACTCGATCCCTGTGCCGCTGGACTAGGCTGGGCGCGCACTGGCGCGGACAGGCACGGCCAGGCACTGCTGGCATGGCCTAGGCACGACTGGTGCCTTTCGGGTGCATGCTGGGCACGGTCGAGGCTTGACTGAGGGCTTGTCATGCGGCTGGGCATGGACGGGCATTGGCCAGACTCTACTGGCACGGGACAGACACGGGCAGAGGCCAAACGGGCGCTATCGGCCGTCCCCGAGGTCACTGGGCACTCGGGCGTGCTGCTGGACACGCATCGAGGCCGACTGGGCTCAGCTGACCCGACTCGAGTCAGCACTGGACTTGGCACGAGGCTCTAGGGCGAGACCTCGTGCGCTGGGACTTGGCACGGACGCTGCCGGGCGTCGTGCGCATGGACCGTGCACGCTGAGTGCCACGACCACGCATGCTGGGGCACTCGGGACTGAATATGCGCGGGCACGAGCAAACTGGCCCGGGACCACACGCATATGAGCTGGGGACAGCGCTGTCGGGCGCTGTCGGAGGGTGCTGGGCGCAACTGGCGCTGATACTGGCCACACGGCGTGCACTGGGCGCTGCGGGCGCTGTTGCGTGCACGCGGGCTGTGTGCCACGCCTACCGGGCGCGGGCACTAGCTAGGCTAGCCTCTGTAGGCACTGGGGCCGGGCATTACCGCGCTATATGTGCGGGCAGCGACCAAGGCCGGCCCTTGCCGGACCTCCGACGACTTTTCCGGTGACATGCAACACGCAACATCATGATATGATACAAAAAGCATAAATATCACATAAAATGCTAGGATGACTCATGCATGTGGCTCGGGAGGGCCTATATGGCACCCACAAGCACCAACTCTCCGAACCAACTTTCATAACTTATAAAACCACTTATGTCCGAATGATTAACACCCAAAATGATAACTATAGGGGTTAATGCATGTGTCATATCTTGCATGCACAATACTAAGGCTCGGGGGTCAAAAATGGCACATTTTCGTGAACGATTTGACCGAACAAAACAAACTCCAATTAGGCTCAAACTTTTTCAGCATCAATGACATGATAAATGAGGGTGATTTAGCTATGAATTTAGACTTAGGCATGCTTGCTACTAAAATTTATTTTTTTAAGGCCATTCAATAATTAAATTTGAAACTTGCCTTTAAACACATGCATGGCTCGGTTTTACTTCATGATAAATCTATTATGTCATAAATTGACTAAATAAATCAAAAGGCACGAGTTTACCTAGGCTGGAAATGGAAAACTAGTGCTAGGTTCAAAATGAGGCAAGGCTCGGTTTTGGGACTTGGGGTGGACTTGGAGTGGAATTTGACCGAGCTTTATTGACTCAAATGACTTATAAAAATCCAAGGAGCACTTGGATAGTGATAAGCCACGAGAGAATATGCTTGGAGATGGCTGAAGTGCGGTGGTGCTCTTCCCGGGTTGGTGATGCGCGAGCGGGCTTGGTGTCTTAGTCTCGGTTTTCCCTCTTCTCCTCTCAATCTATGCGAGTTTCTAACTGCCCAAGAGCTCCAAAAGGCTGATTAATAAGGTCTTAAATTTTCTAGGGGGGCGGAGTTAGCTAGGTTGGTCAAAGGGGACACAATTCATGACTTTGCATAACTTCCATGTGCATGGAAAATAGGGTGGTCTTGGGGCATCTTTTAGCACGGTTTTTGGAGAGCATTTGGTGGTATTTGAAGAGTACTTTACTGAGAAAAAACAGATCTGCTAAAACGGTGGGGGACAAGGACAAACTTCTTTGATTAAAATAATGGTGGCACATGCTCCATTTGCTTAGGCACTAATTAACTTTGTTTAAGCTTTTCTTTGGGCTAATGATGTTGAATTAAACTCTCATTAAGTCCCTAATATTCGCATGTTATTGGATTGAAAAGAAGTGGGCCAAAACTTTGCATTTGGACTCAAGAAGGTGGGCCTGTCACGCTGCCAGCGCTGGGCTGGCACGGGCTGGCTGCACGCGGCCCTGGACTGGCGCGGGGTCTGTGCGGGCTGCGCGTGGGAAATGGACTTGGAGTGAATTTCTAAGGCTTTTAAGGCTTAAATGAGGTTCTCAACGCTTAGAAAAATTTAGAAATGCATAGCCATGACTTGGATGGACCTTGAGCTCGGTGGGCACGCGCTTGGGAGCGGCATGAGGCGCGGGCGCGAGGCTTGGCACGAGCGGGCTCGGGTGAGTGTTAGGCTCGACAATGAGGGTCACAGACTTGAGCTTTATACATTCCAACACTTAAAAAATTATCCTAGGTATAAAAATACCAATTCTCAGCTATGCTCGGGATTTACTAGAAAAATGGTTCGGAGCCAAACTAGAGTTCGAAGCCGAATAAATTCTCGAGTTGAATAACTATAATTTAAC